CCGGCTGACCCTTAAGGGTGGATGCCGTTGCGAGACATCAGGTGGCGGTAATTGGCTGATATCCTAGGCGATTTGACGCTAGCGCGATTGCCTGTGAAAACAGTCAGATCCCATGCGAATACCTAGGTACCTATCTACAGTACTGTACAGGAAGACCCTGAGATTACGCTATGGCGGCGACCCTCTAAGTTGACCGCCTCCTTCGCCAAGATTCCGTGAGTGCGCTCCGTCTCCAATCCCACCTCCGTCAAGGTCGCGAGTCAATCCCAAGCAACCCTAAACCAATCGCATCTATGTTCCCGTCCGTATGGCTACACGGGCCTTCTCCGCATCACCGTCTCGGAAGATTCTCGGCCTGGAAAATTCTCGGCTTTGTCGGTTTCCCTCAAGACGACCCAGCGTTGATTCACCGCTAACTATCACGACCGTGGGTCCATCAAGACATCACAGCCTCACCCTCAAGACCAAAACACGTCGCCGACTGTTGCACTCATCCCACATCAGCCGACTTGTCTTCGGGTGGGTTTGTTTGGCCTCGTTTTCAGTGTTTTGGCTCAGAGACGTCTGCGCCTCGGCCCCAGAAGTCGAACCCGGCATTTCGGGCCTGGTCGGGTTCCCCAGTAGCCAGCCGCATCACGCACCCCACATGCATCTGGTTTGATGTCCCAATTCACCGTTGGATTCGTTTCGTAACACACACGTGCCCAATCTCTTTGGACGGCGCAACGTGTCTATTTACACTAGGTAGTGTTTGTCACACCGTTCACAGTGCGAGGACCAAGCCCGCCCACGTTCTCGAATCGTCGTTGCTTGGTGACTGCTTGGTGACTGCTTGGCGACTTCCCGTTTCCGCCACAGTCAAGGACGCGACACGCGCCACGCGCCACAATTTTTTACGACATACCTAAACCACGTCAAGTCACAGCGACATCTAGGCGGGAACCGAAGCTATTACACCCCAAGTGATAGCGCGCAATCGGTCCGCCGCTGGAAACAGCCAAAAGTACTGAGTTCCGTTTGGGTGTGACTATGATTCGGTGAGGTGCAGACCGGCGTAGTCAACATGTCCGAGGCTGAGAAGAAAAAGTCGACGGTGCCCAAGTTCTCTTCATTTAAACCCAAAACTGCGACCCCAACGCCTCCCAACATCACAGAATCGCGTAATCGCAAGGATGATGAAGATGAAGATGTCAGGGAGAAACGGCCTCGCCGCGAGTCCCGACATCACCATGACCGTGCGAAACATCGCCCGGAGCACCGTCACCACCATCGCAAAGGCAGTCACAGCCGTATTCAGGAACAGCCACTGGTCGAGAAGCCAGATATGCCCAGAGCCCTAGACGAAAAGGCCACTGAGAGCAACTTCTTCTTCGATAAAAAGGGTGACCCTTTGATCAGGAGATACGGTGGCAATGATCGTTCACGCGTGCCAATATACCGTCGTGGATACCGTGGACGTGTGCTCGGCTCCGATGGCTACTTGGTCGTCCATAGAGATGGTCCGCAGGAGCGCTTTAGCATTCGAATGCCTGGAGAAGGCAGCTCGACCTTGAGAGATAGGGCACTGTTCCAAGCCAAGGTTCATCGAGGCAAGCCGAAGCGCATACGACTACGGGATGAAACCAACGAAACCGAATCACGCGGCGCTGAGGAAGAGTTTGTTCCACTGAGTACTTCCACGAAGCGACGACGCGCCGAGGACTCAGAGTCCTCTGGGAACGAAAGACCCTCTTACCGATCCATCGAGGGCAAGGCCAAAGCCCACGAGTTTTCCGACAGCGACATCGACTTTGACTCCGATTCCCAAGAGGAGATAGATCTTGATATGGATGATCCCTTCAAGCAGCGCTCTGTTCAACTATCACGCCTAGTCAAAGAACACCCCGAGGACATTGAGGCTTGGCTTGAGCTCATCAAGCATCAAGACGTACTCTTGAACGCTGGGCAAAGCTTGGATAGAGATGTAACAAAAGCTGAAGTTCACAGCTTCGCGGAGATCAAAATATCAATGTTCGAGTCTGCATTAGCTCAAGCAAAGAAGCCTGAGGATGAGGAGCGGCTGTTGCTCGGCCTAATGCTCGAAGGCTCCAGAGTTTGGTCGACCTCGAAGCTTGACAATCGCTGGGAGGAAGTGGCGAAGAAACACGACTCAAGTTTTTGCTTGTGGAAATCCAGGGTCGACCACAAACTCACAAGCTTGTCAACGTTTCAGTATACTGAGATTAAGGCTATGCATATCAACCGACTGCGGGCTATTTCCAAGCAAGCCAAGGTCTCCGCGTCACCCGATCCGGGCCATTCGACAAATTGTTCAGACACCTCACGCTATGAGCAGATGATATTGGTGTTCCTTAGGGCTACGAGATTTGCATACAGTGCTGGCTTCCGCGAGTTGGCAATTGCTGCATGGCAAGCACTCCTTGAACTGAACCTACAACGACCCTCAAACTTCGATGATAGGACGCCATCACAGATACTCGACTCCTTCAAGGACTTCTGGGAGGATGAATCCCCGCGTATAGGGGAGAAGAGTGCTCTCGGTTGGGAATACTACGTCCGGGCAAACGGTGCCGTTGATCTTGCAGAGCCATGGAGAGACGAAAGTTCCGTACAAGGGTCTCGGGACGTTTACAAGTCCTGGGGTGCGACTGAGCGGCTTCGAGCAACGAACGCGAGAACCCCAGCACGAGCCACGGATGATGTCCCTGAAGAGGACCCATACCGCGTTGTAATGTTTTCTGATATCGAGGAGATGCTCTTCATCATACCTTCAGGGGTCGTTCCTACCATTTGGAAACAGCTCGTCGATGCGTTCCTACTGTTTTGCTGCTTGCCCCCGACGTTTCTGACGAGTGAGTGGACGAGAGCAGCGGAGAACGATATGCTGGTCGTAGGGAGCATGAGTCTCTTTGAGAATGATGTCCTCCTGAAGCCCAATGAACCTGATGTCATGGACGAGTCCAAAAAGACACCCGGATTCAGACAAGACGGATCTCGGTTTGCAGCGTCGCCTGATCTACTCTTTGCCGGCTCTGACTGGTTTTCGCTTTTTTCCGGCTGGACAATCACATCCAAAACATTGGATGGGCCAGTAGACCTGGCCTGGCTTGCCAATGCTCTCCGGTTGTTGGCGAGCTCGAAGGGACTTGGGGAGCTGGCTGAATATTCGTTGTCGATCGAAGCTATCAATGACCCCAGCAACATAAAGAAGCGCGCCAAAGCGTTCATCAAGCAAGATCCTACCAACCTGAGATTATACAATGCATATGCTCTTGCTGAGGTTGCCTACGGAAGACAGGAAGTTGGCCAACAGGCTGTCACATCAGCTATTGGACTGATCTCTGTGAGTGAACCCCCGATCGAACCAGTCTTCTCGTGGGTTGAAACACTAACAACGTTACTGCAGACCTCGAATAGCAGTGACGGGCTGATGCTATGGAGGACGTGGGCCTGGATGGACCTCAATGCTGGAAACAACGCACAAGCTATTGTGCGTTTATGTGCGGCAACGGATGGCGCCCTTAGAGATGCCGTGGTTGCGACCCCCTCTCAGCTTCTCAAAGCACACCAGTCACTCTTGGCCAGCCTGGAAAGCCAAATATTCAGTGGACAACTAGATGATGCCATCGTCACAGCCGAATGCCTTGCACTACTCGTATATCTCACGTCACAGGAAGGTTCCGAACCAACGTCTGAAGCGCAAGGAAGCATCTCAGCTGCAATGGAAAGGATATGGACCATGTCTTCGGAGTTTTGTACCCGAGGTCAGTCCAAGTCTCCAACACACGAGAGACTTTTGCAAGCTGGTGCAAGGCTTCTGTATCACCATGCCAGCCGGGGGTGAGCAGGTCCAACCCTCTCCTAGAGTTTCAAAGCTAATCGTGCAGCAGACCGTTCCGTCGTGTCTATCTGAGGGAACAGCTTAGTCAGTTCATCGAGCTTTTCCCCCGCAACACAATGTTCCTCAGCCTCTTTTCCTGGGCATCGACTACGTTTGGCATCGATGACCCTGTTCGTGACATTCTTCGCAAGGTTGCCTTCACGAACGGTAATGACTGCATCAGCAACCGCATTTTTGCAGTCCGATACGAATTGCAAAAAGGAAACGTGCATTCTACACAAGCAGCTTTTGAGCGGGCACTTGACACTCCCGCATGCAGGTCCAACCCGGATATCTGGCGATGTTATATCAAATTCAGCTACGCCAGAAAGCAGCTCAGGGCCAAGGCAAAGGACGTCTTCTTTCGGGGCCTAAGGCATTGCCCATGGTCCAAAGATCTTGCTCTCGAGGCGTACACGACGCTCATCAATGCCATGGATGAGTTTGAACTCAGATCTGTCTTCAACACCATGTCGTCTAAGGGGTTGCGGGTACATGTCGACTTGGACGAATTCGTAGCCAAGCACAAGGAGACGAGGGCTATGCATGGTTAATGCTGTGCAGTAGAGGCGTAGCACAGGCGCCTAATGTCAAACAGCCGGCTCTGTAATGGAACATTTAGGCCTCGGTCACGATAACAAGAACTGATGGTGTGATTCAAAGCGTGAACCACCATGAACAGAAACCTGGGGGGTTGGTGCCACTGCAGGATTTCGGCACCAACAATGACTGGGTTTGGACCTGGTTGGGGCTAGCTCGGGCTAGGAACGATTGATCAGGCATGCGAGCAGGCGAAAGAGTCAGAGTGGCAATGCATCCGCAGCACGACGAGAATTCTGACAAGGTAGTTTTGGTTGGCTGGTTGGTCATACATACACAGTAATAGTAATCCAGCCATTGCTCGCTCGATTAAGATGATGCGGAGTGACTCATCTGCCATAGTGTACAACTACAGCAAGCAGCTCATTGACTCTTTTCACCCCCCCAGTGCTTGAGGCGAATCAGGGTCCACACAGGTCGCTCGGTGTGCCCCGCCCCGCCCGAAGCCGCCCCCTCCCCTCCCCTCCAGACGACCTTGGAAGGAAAGAGGTGAAGCGGCGGGCAGCTCTGGTGCCCCACCTTTTGGTCTCTCTCCATTGTCGCTTTTTATTAATTGCGACTTCCGCCGCCGCAAAAATTCCATCAGCAACACTCTGACGACAGAACTCTTAACGACGACAATTTTTCCTACGCCTGCGCAGGAATTTCCATACGAAGAATCCCATACGACTGTTGCCGTCGTATACCCCGATACCCTCCCTTCCAAAAACACCATTCAGACAGTCAACACTCCCATAAGAAACACAAACATGGCGGTGCGCGCGCAATTCGAGAATTCCAACGAGTGAGAAAAAAAAAGCCCCGCCGGAACGACCCCGCTATCGTGCTGCAGCTTCTTTCACCTGCACCACGATGTTCTGCCAGACCAGACGTGCTGACCCTTGGTGTGCCTTTTCATTAGGATTGGTTGCTTTGCAACCCTCACCAACTCCTACGCTCTTGTCGCTCCCGGCGCTAGCGAGAACTTTTACAGTGTGTTCGAGGCTGAGTTGCAAGGCGTGATCCCCATTTGCCGGGCCAGCATTGCCGGCGTCCGCATCATCGGCCGGTTAACAGCTGGGTAAGTCATACGCGATGGGATCGTGCATCTCTTTTCGGCGCACTCGTGAACTAGTCAGGCTGACATGCGAGGCTCTAGTAACCGCAAGGGTCTTTTGGTCCCGAACACGACATCAGATCAGGAGCTCCAACATCTCCGCAACTCCCTGCCAGACGAAGTCCGCATCCAGAGAATAGAAGAGCGTCTGTCGGCCCTCGGCAACGTCATTGTGTGCAACGACCATATCGCCCTCATCCACCCGGACTTGGAGCGTGAGACGGAGGAGATCATTGCCGATGTGCTCGGCGTCGAGGTGTTCAGGCAGACCATTGCCGACAACGTGCTTGTGGGCTCGTACATGTCGCTCACGAACCAGGGAGGCCTTGTGCACCCCAAGACATCGATACAGGACCAGGACGAGCTCTCGAGCTTGTTGCAGGTTCCCCTGGTGGCCGGCAGTGTCAACCGCGGCAGCAACGTCGTTGGTTCCGGCATGGTCGTCAACGACTGGATGGCCGTCACCGGCCTCGACACGACGGCAACGGAGCTCAGCGTGATTGAGAGTGTATTCAGACTGGGCGAGGGCCTGGGCCCGGACAACGTCAACACCAAGCTCAAGGACACCATGGTCGAGTCTTTCTACTAGAGAAAGGGTGTTGGTCGTTGCGGAGGAGGGTTTGGTGGAGACTGCCGGAGCATTGCTAGGTCGGGTTTTTCGTTGGTTTGGGATACCATTAATGGGCTGAGCACGGTTTGGTAGGCTTATCCCACGAGCCAGGTTTAGGGCTCAGTACATCACGGGCGTACATCATCACGACCGGCATGAATAAAAGCCTTCGGGCACTTTGAGGACCCCATATCATGTCGCCAAGCACGCGTGCTCCCCCCTCCCCAGTCAGAGGCATTTCGAGATCTAGCCATGTGCGTACGGCGAACTACTGCAATGGGGCTTTGAAACATTTGCTATGGCGGACGACGAGGAAGAGACCATGTCTCAACCGCAGGGTGCTGGCCAGCGTCAACATCAAAACCGCCTGTCAAGTGTCAAGAGATCGAATGCCAAGAGTATTCTAATTGTACTCTGCCCACGGGCATGTTCGTCTGGAAGGCAATGCTCAAATTTTGCTTGTGAGAGCGTCCACGCCGCTTCCCACTTGGAAATACTATATATATATATATATATATATATACATATGTATATATATATATCTTATGGAAGAAAAAAAGGGGATCATCTTGCATTGAAACAACGGCTTCTCTCTGATGATAGCAAACGTAAGCTCCGACGGAGCGTTTGGAGACAGGGCCTCCATGACCACAAGCCACCGATTCTGACAATCGCGGATGGTACGTGCGGCGGATTGAGATGCTGTATCCGAGATGCAGCGTCGAACGCGGACACCAATTCTACATGATTTCTTTGAATAGACGAGACATTGGGCTGGGGAAAAGGGAGCAGATGAACCACGTTCCTCCGGGCGCGCCAGTCCAGCGCCGGTTGTGCTCCTTGAACCGTTGAATGAAGGCGGCGCCCCGCATGGCATGCACTTCGCATGTCTGAGCGCGGCAAACGGGGGAGGAGAGAGGGTGTCGGCGTTTCGAGCATGTAGAGTTGCTTTCAAGGTCCAAGATAGCGACCCGGACCATTCCTTGTAGTAGGGCGGCTAACTATGTATAATGATGAGGCTGAACGTGCCCGTGTACTTCGGTATCTGACTCATCCCATGTTGTTGATGATTTTGGAGGAGGGAATCAGCAACAACGGCCACGGGGGATGTCGATCGTCAGCTCGATAAGAGCCGGAAGAATTATCTTTGAATCTTTGTTGCCGTCGGTGTTTCTGTCTAAATTAGTGCCACTCATCGTAGGCAGAAACACATGCAAATCCTCGACTATTTTGCACAGACACAAACAAGTACCTACTTTTGGGTGTGTTTCTAGGGTTCAACGGAGATGGCACGGACCAAGACCGATGGGGGCGTGCTCTAGGGCCCTAGGCTGAATATATGCAAAGGGCAGTGCGCTGGACACGACACATCATCATCCTCAATCATAACAACAACAACAACAACAACAACACCATTTGTGTAAGATATGACCAGTTGTGAAAAGGCTGCGTGTGCAGTCCAATGACGACTGGCTGCACCGAGACACTTCGAATGCGTGGACTGGACTGAGTGGCTGTTCGTTCGTCTCCCCCAGTACCGAGGCCCGGGGAGCGGGCTGTTGATGGGTCCTTTACGGAGTACAGAGTACTGGGGACTGATTGATGGAGATGCCCAGCCACCTCCAATTGTTGATGTTGACGTCGCCTGCGATCGTTCCGTTTTGTTTGCTTGATCAGGGACATGACCTCACCGTAAGGTTCTTCCCCTCCCATTTGGCGTCCATTACAAATAACCAAAGCTGCTGTTATTTTTCTTATTACCCCTGTCTCCCGTCATTCGCTCTCGTCCGCAGCCAACGTCGACGCCCTGCAGCCAGCCCGTGGCCTCTGACCTCGTGGAAGCCAGACACACATTTCTGCAATAGACCGGGGGGGGGGGGGGGGGGCGTCCCCGTTTCTTGATGTCTGCAGCACTTCCATCCAGCCACACAGCTGCTCGGATCCGAGAAAGCAAGTTTCTTTGTTATTGGATTCCAAATGACAGACTGCCCACTTGCGGAACCTTTCTACATACATAATACTCATACTACCTATGCTCAAGTTGTCACGAGCTGGCGTTCATTCTATCCCCCATTCCTGACACGGTCCACCCGCTTTCGCGTCCCTTTGACCGAAATCAAACATCAAGCCGCATCGCATCGAAACCCCCGCTTTTCTCTCTATCCCCTCCACGGCATAACTCGCTGCCCAAGGCAACGATTCACATCACAACACTGCACTTTTGTGCCCGGCCCTTTTGGATCGTCGACTAGGCTTCTGAATCGAGATAGCAAGCCTCTGTATCTCAGCCACAAGCGGATGGATTTACTCACCTGCGACTTTGACAGCTTCGACGTCTTTCTCTAGGCCGCGCCGCCGACGCCCAGCAGGGCAAAGTTGTCGTCACTCTGTCCTAGATCGACAGCTGCTTGCGCACTCGAGCGCTCTGCCGAGGCCAGACCGCCGCCGGATTCGTCCACGAGCCAGCGCACCACGGCGAGGTGCATGCGACTTTTGTAGTCTCCATCGTCTGGCAACTTGTCCCAGTTCGTCCAACGCTTCGCTTGCAAGGGGGTGTCCCGGCGTCTACCTACTCTTGCCCGAGGTCTGTCCCCTTTGTCTAAATCGAACCATCGCCCCTCCAATTGTCAACGATTTATCCACCCGAGTTCCAAATTTCAACGTTGTTCCCTCGGAAGCTCCTTATTTGGCCAGGTTGGTCCTAGTTACTCAAAGGACGATCCCGTTTGTGGCCCGAGTTGATCCATTTAGTCAGCATTCCCTGGGCTGGCCGCTACCATCAAATCTGTGAGCCCCCAGCCGGCCAGCAAGGAAGTCCAGAGAAAGAGATATTGGCCGATCCACTCGAAACATTAACCCATCATGCTAAGTCGTCACGCTGCCACCGCTCCCTCCACACCCGGCTCCCCAATGTCCGTCCCACACCCACCCACGCAGCGTCTTGGAATGTACGGGACTCAGACGCCCCAATACCATGCATACGGACCCTTGAGCGTTGGTGCAGAAGACGATCTTCCCTCTCCGTGCGCTCCTCCTGGTGCTACCTTAAACATCAAGCCGCCTGTCCATCCCGGCTCAGCTCATATCAGTTCGTCTTCTGACTCCTATCGAAGCTTTCCCCATCCACGCGCAGTTCATCATCAAAGACAGCAATCGGTCCCAAACTTTCCTTCATCCTCCTTCGACAACAACAGCAACAGTTCCATTCCACAAGTCACTGTTTCGCCATCCCTCGAGCGAGGGAGTGGCCGTCCCTTATCGGTCAACATGCCTCTCACAGGTGATGGCAAGAGTGGCGGTAGATCGTCAGACGCCAGAAGAGGGGGTGTCTTGAGCAGTCGGGCACCCAAGGACACTTCGCCAAGCACGTCACGGTTCGCCTTCTTCAGTTCGCCGTTCTCCAAAAACACTCAACCCCAGGTCGACCCCACGCAGGACGAGGAGCTACTTTCACTCGACATTCAGAATGCCCTGTTTCCTCCCTCATCCCCGACCAGCCGGGATGCCTTTTCGCCGGCAGCCTTCAAGAACCTCGAGGCCACCGCCATCGGCCTGCTGACGAGATTTCAAAGCGCCTACCAAAGACAGGATGCAGCCCTCCAGGAGCTACGCACAGAGAAAGACGCCCAGGCCGAGGAGCATGACGAAGCGGATACGCGAATTCAGCATCTCAGGGTCCAGCTGGAAAACATGGCCTCCAAGGTCGCCGAGCAGGAGCAGTTGATGCAACAGCTCATGGCGGAACTAAACGCCGAAAAGAAGGCACGGCACGAAGAGCGGATAACGCGCGAACGAAACCGACCCCTCTCGGAGGGGTCCACGACATCGGAAGATCTCGGCGTTGAAGAAGACATGGCCAGGCGGAAGTGGAGGAAGAGCGCGGGCTTTGATACGGACGATGAGAGCGTCGAGGACGCCAGCGTCTTCTCGAGGTCGCGGAGCCCCACCACTGCTGCTCCCAGCGTGTTCGAGGGGAGCATCGCGGACATGTCACCGACGCCGCAAACGCCAAAGGCCAACTCGCTCGGCCCGCCGAGGCCGTCACGGTCGTCCGTCCAGAAGCCCTCACCTCAGCAGGTCAGCGTCTTCCAGAAGCTCATGAGAGGCGTCGCTGGGGATACCGCAAATCAGGAGGGCGGTCCCACGTCGTGCGCGAATTGCCGCGGGCAGGACCAGCGGGCTGCGTGGGATACCGTCAGTCTGCTGAGAGACGAGAACCGTGGGCTGAAGCATCGTGTGGAGGAGCTAGAGACGTGTGTGGATAATGCGCTGGACGCGGTCAACGGCCTTGGGCTTTATTGATCGGTTTTTGCTTTTCTTCAAATTTTTCAAATCTTGTTTTTTTGCTTTTTTTTGGTGGTATACCCGCGAGATACAGCAGAAGTTTGATCTCTGCGGCATGGCGGCGTTTACTCGGTTGTTTTTAAACGGAGTTGTCTGGACGGTGTTTCCTTCGCATGTTGAACACATAAATCGCGATACCAATAAGCTGGCATTGTTAATGTTTTGTCGAAACACCGCGTATACCTCCTCAGATGAGTTGAGACCTAGAGAATGAACAACATTATTGAACGTGTGCGATGAGCTGACGAATCCTATTCTTTTTTTACAAGGCAAGATTTGTGATGTGATCGGGTGTCGGCCTATGCTGGCTGAATGTTCGCCAAGCAAGAGTCATGTATGTTGACTTGAGGCTCTAGACATGTCGTCAAGGTCCGAGAGAGGAAGAGCTTGGTTTAGAATGCTGTGTAAGCAACCCAAGATAGAGCACGTGAGCCTGGTTGCACAGGAAGCTGGGCTCTCTGATTATGAGATTTGTGGCGTTGCGGATGAGGTAAATCTACGTCACGACTTGTGCTCGGGACTTGCTTTTTTCTTTCTTTTTTCTTTCCTTTAGGTCTTTTTCTTTTGTAGTCAGACAGTGCCAGAGTAGAAGAGCGGAAGAGCGAAAGAGCCATGGCTCTTTCAGGCACACAGGCTCGTTCCAAAAGGAGAGGAGGCGCCACCGCGGGCTGCCCGGGTTGCTGCATAGCCATCCTGATGGCGCAGGCGCCTAAGTTCAGAGAAACGTCTGGCAGGGGCCATCCCATCTTCCAATTTGCGTTACCTCGATTCGACCTTGCAGTTGCGTCGGCGATGGCGACCCTTCACGGTTGCGAACCTCAAGTATTGGTGCCTTGAACGTACGGGAA